GGCCGTCCAATTAGCCTCTGCAGGCCTTTGCTCTGATAGTGGTTTAGCATGGAGGCTTCTCAAACTGTTCTGATGATGTCAAACTTTCTTGGGACTTGTTCTGAAAAATAAATTCAGTTTCCATTGCCATTTCAATATGGTAATGCAGCAAGACAAGGCCATTAATGCACCAATTTAAACATTTGTTTATGTAACGTTTTCAATGTTAAACATTGTTAATGCACATCAAAAATATTTTGCTACATTGTATATTCCAATAGCCAACCGGCTCAAATGTGAGAATTTAATGCCTCCTCTTTTTTGTATGGTTACTCTCATATAAAATAGTATCTTTTGTAAACAAGACCGCAGACTCTAAGGTTGTGTAACTTTTTTGTAATTTTTGTTTTCTGACATTTTGTAGACTAAATAATTTAAATATAAATTGGGTTTATTCTTAACCCATCTGAGGGCTGAGTTGATGTAAAAAAGGAAAATGTTAATTTTACTAACCCGATTTGTGTGACATGTCCTGACAAAGCTAATATATTTGCCTTTCTATTTAGCTCTTATTTAGTTAACCCTTAATTCAAGCATTCTTCCAGTGTTTCTTTCTATTCTCTCTAGTATTCAATCAAACAGGCCTCATTTCAAAGACTAAGTCAGTCTACACCCTCTTCCTTCTTTTCTCTCTCTTCATCCATCTGCCATTTCTATCCACAGTTATCCATTCTCTATCCCCATCACCCCTGGAACAACACTCATCCATCTCTTTGTCTCCATGCCCTCACACCCTGTGGTGAGAAATCTCCAATTTATCTTGTGTCCCCTTGTTTTGCCTTCACTTCTCTCTGTACTCTTCTCATCACTCTGTCTATCCATCAAACCATCTACCCATGGATGTGCTGCCCTCCTCCCTTCAGTCCTATTAGGCTTACAAAGCTGCAGGATAGCAGCAAAAAGGCTGAATGTACATTCATATTTATTATGATATACCATATGTATGAGTATCTGACAAAATTTGTTCTTTTACAAGACATTTATTTATAGAGTGTATACATATATATATATATATGTATTTATATGTATTTTTCATTTTTTTGTGCAGAAGCAAAACAAAAAAACTGGATTTTATGATGCACGATGATGCATAATTTAATGATATTAAGTGTGCTGTCAAACGTAGCACAAAGTTGGACAGTAGCAGAATGGAACAATAAATAAACTGCAACAAATCCAGCAGTGCATGGCCACACAGTTGCTGCTCCACAGGGATGATGCACCATTTTCATAAATCCCTAAGAGCTCAGATTCTCCTTTACATGCTACAATTGTTTGGTGACTGAGTTATTTCCACAAATAGAGATGAACTTTTGAGAGAAAAGTATATGTGTGGGTGCTGTGTGTATGTATCTCCCAGATGCAGAGTAAAGACAGTTGTGTGATGTGTTGATAGTGAAAGAGGCAGATCTTTTAAACTGAGGAAAAAAGTGAGGGAAGAGTCAAAGACAGCTGCAAGAGCAGGAGAGTGCAAATGCACTGGATAGCAGAACCTGAAAAAGAAAAAAGTAGGATGGAGAAACAATGAATGATAGGCAGTCAAAGAAGAAAAAGAAGCAGACATATGAAGGGTTTAAGAAATGCAAGAGCAAAATGACCGGGTAATGGACAAACCAAGGTACAGAGAAAGACACACACCAAAGGAGTGAGAAAAAAATGGACGTGTGAATGAGATAGAGCAAGAGAGGTGAGAAAGATAAAGACAAAAAGGAGGATGAAGAGCTGTCCATAATGAGTTTTGTCCTACATTCACAAAGGCAACATTAAATCATGCTCTACTAAGCAGCACACACACTGCCAATACAGCCAGGGTTTACACATCTTCTCACTCACTGTAGTGTCCTCTGACCTTCAATCCATTGATTCACTGTCTACACATAAAATGTAGTTTTTACCAATGAGGCATCTCTCTTTAAAAAGTGCTATTCGTTTTTAATAGCACATATCCACTGAAAGAGCATACAATTAAAATTAAGGTTCTAAAAATCCAGCTCAACAGATCTGTACGACAACCATTTCTTAGCTAGAAACTACTCCTGTGCTGTCCATAAAAAGACACCAAATATGACTTCTAGCAGTATGGAGTCCAGGAATTCTTTCAGTGTCTGAAAAACAGAAATCAACACTTTACACTCCAATGTGACTGACTGAAATACACATGAAAAAGTGTTTACTAAGGCAGAGAACACATATGGTTACAAACCTGCTACTGAGGAAACCCTGCCATGTTTCTCTCTGTAGACATTTTCAAAGGGTACGTGTCACTCTAACAGTTTCATCTGTATACAAAACTGTAAAGACAAAAAACATCCCCCTGTAGCCTAATTAATAGTGAGGAATCTTTTCTACTCACTTCACTTCAGCTTGCTGTAAATATGGACTACAATTTGCAAAAAAAAAGAGATAAATGATATTACTGCGAGCTCCCGAGATTTGTTTTTATTCCAGAAGGTTTAACTAATGGCAAAAATTTGCATATCACACAACTTCATCTCCTAAGAATTCAGAACACTCCTTGGAGCTTGGAAAGACACCATGAAAACCAGGTAAACCCTGTAACTTTGTTCTGGCACAAGAAGGCAGAAAGAAAGAGCCCGTGGAGGCAGTTAGCTGCAAGACAAGGCAGGGTCAGATTTTATTACAGTGACATCAAAATAACACCTCACAACCCTTTACAAAAGTGCACAAAGGGAGTGCTGCTTTTTGACTGTTCTCTTTATAGCTCAGTCTACACCACCGAAGTACCGTTTTAATCTTTTGTGCTGTCCAGGCAAGCTTCATGCATTTGCAAATCCCTTTGCAGTTATATGCTTGCCAAGCCATTTTGGGTGGAAACCTTTTGGAATTCATAGATTTCTTTCTTTCTTTCTTTCTTTTTTTTGTATTTTAATACTCTGTAATGATGTCACTGTCCTGTTACTTTAAAAAAGTCATCAAAAAAGTTTTCCTTTGTTTTGCATTTTGTTTTTACTTGCAGAATGATGAATGTGAATATGCATAGCATGTAGAGAAAGTGCACAAGGCTACAGAAGTTTGGGAGCTTCCCTCCAGCATAAGGTGCAGCAAAGTACTTTGATGACAAACCCTTTGTAGCCAGGCCTCGTACCAGAGACCTCACAAGACAAAAAAAAGTACAAGCTCATGTTTGGTGAGGGCCCGTTTAGCCCAAGGCTTATAATGTTTCTTTCTTAGTTTAGCATGTTAGCATGCTAATATTTGCCTATAGACGGTACTAAGGAATCAAGACTACACCACTCAGCAGATCCTGAGTCAAGTCTTCACATCATTATTTAACAATCCATCAAGTTTTTAGAACCAACTTGAATGCCAACAGCAGCATTGTTAGCATGCAAAAACACAGCTGCAGTCTGTTTAATAAACTAAAAGCGTTAGCGTGACCAACAACGAAAACAGAAGTAAATGTGCAAGTAGGTGTTAAAAAATTTAAGTCCTTGAGTCAAGCATCAAAACATGTAAAATATGTTAACGAGGCACAAGAAGTCACAAAAAGTCTGCGTCATTTTTCAGCGAAACTGCTGTACTTACAGTGTACAGTAATTTTGAATATTCTCCAGGCTTCAGCTGACACAAGTGGTCAAATCAAAAGTTATCAAATGGCAGAAGTCTGTAAAGCATAATTAGCTGTGTATAATTAGGTGGCAAGCTAATGAGTGGTAATCACAGTACTGTAGAGCCATTCTTTTATCTTTTGCATGTGCATTCCAGTCAGTATTCATGCAGTAGTACACAGCAGTATAGCTTCAAAGATGATCCTTTTATTTTAATAATACTGAGACAGTAATTGGTTCTTAATATTCATGATCACAAAAATGCTGTTCTGGAACTTTTTTTTTTTGCCTTCTCAGCCTGTAACCGTAACAGTAGTCTGGCTGTCTGTACAGTCTGTGGGAGAATGACTTCAGGCAGGCCAGTGGTCTACTGACAGCTATTTCCTAATGATCTCCCCACAGATATTTCATATCTGACAAAGTGAAGCTACTGTAGAGCTACTGGAGAGATGGTTCACTTTTTTACCATTTGATTATTGAGAACTAATCAAAGCTTAGTTCTCTTTTGGTTCTGAAAGAAAAAAACCCCTACTATTAGACCTCTTTCACATATTGTCATCTGCCAATCACCCTCCTTTAACATTCAATCCAGTTTCCACATGCACATATCTAAATCAGAAAAGCTAAAGAATAAAACTTCCACATCAGTAGCTCACAAACAAATCATGTATTTAATCACTAGAGACTGGTACTTACTTGGGAGAAGACTGTGTGAAAATAAAAAGCACAAAGAGTGACCAAATCACACATTTCACTTTACTGTATCACATAGCGTCGTGCCATTGTAACGAATGTTCTCTGAAATTTCTTCTTCTTAAAGTCCACCATGCCGTTCAAAGCTACTCTCAGTTGCATAAGTGGAGTTTAGCGTGCAAATAATTGAGTAATTTAAAGGCAGCGTAGGGGAAGACTGAAGAGGTTGAAAGGAGAGAAAAATACATAGACCCTAGGTACCCATGGAAATAGCAGTTAAGGTCAGTGGTGGGAATGTTTGGGCACGAGCTGGAGCAGAGCAGTATGAGAGCAGCAAAGTGCTGCAGGCCACAGGGGAATACCCTCCACTAAGCTAGAAAGAAACACTCACAGACTCACGCAGCAACAGCGTAAGAAGCACTCTTGCTAAAAGAATAAACAGATCCATGCACACACTCAAGCACACTATACTAAAAATAAACATGTGCATGGATATGAAAATACACACAGGATGAAGACAGCAACCAAAACAAACAAACATGTATGTGCACCCACAGCCCTAAAAAGGTAACAAAATAATGTGATGACTAGACAGATTAAGAAACTGGATCTTTAACTTCAATTAATCATCTTAAAAGCTGCTGATTTATTCAAAATGATCTTATTAGCTCAATTTCACAACAAACTTTACCCTCTCACCTTGACAAGATCCGTTGATTTCCTCAAATCCCGGCTGGCAAACACACTTCCCAATGGGCACCAGCCACTCTCCCTCTGTGCTGCAATGCATCCTGGGAGGCTCGTATAAAGGCAGGGAGTTATTGACACAGCGGCCCACTACCTCTACCAGCTGTGAGGCTTCTGAGCCTGGGATTGTGTCAGGGAACTCAGCCAAGCTCTTCACCAAGAATGGGCAGCGTTTGTAGAAAACCCTCACTGAGACTAAAGCAATGCAGGCCCCTAAATCCTGAAATGCCAAGTAGAAGCCTTTCCGGGTCAGAGGACCTAAATCGCGGACTTCAGTGTTAAGCTTCATCACACGATCCCCAAGGTCCAGCTCAGTGAAGCTCTCATCAGCTGCTATGGTATCAATTTTGATGTACCTGCTCTCCTTCATTGCCCTGTCTTCCTCTTCTGTCATCCCGGTACCATCTCTCATCTCTCCTTCCTCCATCTCTTCTTCGTCCCCATCTGTTTCATAGTAATACATATTAAAAGTCTCCTTGCAGGTCCCGACACCCCCTGGCAGGCTGTTGCAGTCTCTCAGGGTGAACTTGAGCTCAATAAATACCCGCTGGGCACCCTCAGTCAGGATCCAGTTGGTGTGGAGCCAGTTGTTCTGGTTTTGCTCCATCACACGGCATACTTGGTAGGTGTGGATGGGAGCATAGTTCTCGTCTACTTCCCCAATCTCCTCCCACTGAAAAAGAAAAAAAAACCCAAAATATTAGTGGAAAGACCTTGTTCCTTTCAAATGATTAAATGCTTAATATTCCCATGCACATCCTGCATTCAAAACATCACTAAAGTCAATTTTACAACATGCTTAAAGTACAGAAAAATGTTTTGATGAAATGGCTTTAAATTTGTTATATACAAGAATATTTAGTAGCTAATGCATCAATGTGTGAATATTACTTTACTATGGTCACTGCTTGAACCTCCAAAGAGTCACAACATCAATTTAATAGGTGTGTGGGGATAATCGTATTTTAAAACTCAAATTTATATCGGTAGTTTTTAGCATTCTGATTTTTTAAATTAATCCATTAACAGTTACCAACAGTCAGCCCAACTACAGTTTAGTCTTAAACTTAATATTAATATTAATAATGTACCATCTTATTCTAAAAATGTAAGAGTGTAACACACAGTACAATATTACCAAAATGTATAAAGTATAAAACACATTTTTTTTTCAAAACCATAAGTCATCCTTAGTAACACACTTACAGTATTACATCATAACATTTTCAGTCTACTAGGACAAACTTGTCTAATTAAGCATGCTTATAATTCTACATATAACAATGAAGTAAACAGTAAATTCTAGTATGTTGCCTGTATTGTTTAAAAATGTGAAATTATACTCATACAGAGAATCTGACACCGTGGTAATACTTTAAGAATGAGCAACAGAAATGCTTTTCTGAAAGGATTAACGCTGGTGTGGAAATTTTAACGGTGTGTTTGTGTGTGTGTGCATGCATGTTAGTGTGTGTGTGTCAAGGTATAGATAGCAAAATAATCCTCATCACTTCCACCTCATTTCCTCCTACTGCAATAGAGAGAAAGGAATGAGATCGTGTTAAAGGGTACATATGCATTTACCATGAGTGAGGGGTGGCGTTCTTGTCAGCAAAAAAAAAAAAAGAGGATTTAACCTGCACCTGTGTGTTCATCTGTAGCACCATATCTCTAAAGGAGAATGTGTGTGTCTGTGTGAATCCATTTCTGCATGTGCATATATGCAAATTACCTTGTCAGCATTCAAGTGTATGTGAGCATATGCATCCATGCATGTGTGCGTGTGTCAGACAGCAGCATTAATTCCCTCTGCAGGTCTCGTGGGAGATGGCTATTATCTGCATCACTAGCCCTCTCTCATGACTAATATAGGCGCTTCATCATGTCACTGTAATATGGCCAGAGGGACCAGACTATGATCTGGTGTTATGGCTTAATAGCCCATATTAATCAATCCTTGCTGATCCATTGTATACAACCCTCTGTCTTTATCTTTTCGCTCTCTTCTCCCTGTCTCGTTCTCCAGCTGTCTTTTTTTTTTTACACTTTCCCTGATTAAGTGTGTCTCTTTTGTTTTGTCTCTTTTGTTTTCTGATTGTAATTATTCAGTTTCAGAATCATTTGATAATGGATGCAGACATTTAAGTATTTATAGATATTGTGTGCACACGCAGTGTGTTAATAGTCTTGCACCTTTATCTTTGTAACAAGCAATTTCACTTTTAGTCTTCCTGAAATTGTTGGAAAGCGAATCATCTTATGCGATTTACTAAAACGCTGTTTGAGGATTTAAACTTTGTTCCTGAGTTCGGCTTAGACCTAGGTCTTGATTGGTGGTTTGAGTGTATTATGCTAATGAGGGTCTTCACATATATGGAGTGCAAACTATTCAAAGATATCTGTTTTTAATTGTGTGCCAGTCCCCATCTCCACCAGACCTCAGCCCAGTCAGTCCCAGTACAGACATTAAGCCTCTTACTTGTTAGATCGCACAGATCCACAAGCCTGCTCTGAGATTTACACAGCTTAACACATACACACACACACAGAGCCACACAGCGTCATTATTGGTATCCCAGCGGGGAGTTGAACAGACGACCTCCTCTCACTCTGCCTTGAACAAATTGGTTCGGCATGTGTGCTTGGAAGTGGTGTTGCCATTGTTGCAATTGGGAGTCCTCCCACTTTGTAGCTCAACTGTATTTATAGAGTTTAATTACTAATGTAAATAGGATATGATACTTGAGCTAACACTTTAAAGTGAATAATCAAACAATTATTTAGCATAACCCATTTACAAGCAAACAGCCACTAAAATGAGTAACAAAATGTTACCAAGGTTCATCCTTTGGCTTTCCAAAAAATGCCGCTGATGTAGAAACAGACTGCTCTAAGACTTTTTAGTTGCACCTACTGGAGGAACACACTTTGATCTGTGCACAGAACAGCACAGCAGTAAGGTTGCAGTTGCAGAACCACATTCATAATGTGAGGGAATGTATTGAAACAGTCAGTCTAAAAGTTAATCACACAATAAACTCACCTAATGCTAGATCTATTTCAACTTTACTTTCTTCCTTCTCAATCACTCCAGAAATAACCTCTCGATTCAGTGCATAGACCTAACTTTGTGTGCAGACTGCCTCTTCATGATGTGAAAGGGGAATGATTTTCTATCCCCACCGACAGTAAACTAGTGGATTTACCAGGTCATGTTTTTCAGAAGACTTAGACAATATCCTAGTACCTCAGAAACAACTGTGACCAATTACATCAATCAGGACAACTTTATGTTACATTGGTTTTCAATCTATTTTCACAAAGCTAATGGTAAGCTAACAACAATATATTTTGTCAAGCAGCAGGGTTTTGAGAAGCACATATATGTCATTACTTTGTCACACTAAAGCACAACTATCTGCATGACTTGGAATTTTTTTTGCCAATTTGGAAAAGCTGCTATTCCTGTAGGAGTGCAAATGGTCCCAACACTCAGTCTAAAGAGATTAAGATCTCTTTCATTTGTGTGTCATTTCATCTCCACTTTGCTCCAAACTAAAAAAAAAACCAACTCCCCTATAGGCATCCTTCTAGCTCCTCATTAGTGTGTGTGTTTAGTTTTGGGGGTTTTTGGACTGTTATATGTGTATTTTTGTGTGTCACATCTAGTCTGAAGACCCCCTGTGGTTGTGCTGAGTGCCTTTCCGGCTGCAAGTCTACAACGCTGTAACCAACTTATTATTATCACCCATTACTGCTGACCATCATGACACTGTAATAGAACTGGCCCTTTTTCTTCTTAACACTACCAGTGCCACTACTCCACACACACACACACACACACACACACACACACACACACACACACACACACACACACACACACACACACACACACACACACACACACACCACCTCTTTCCATCTATGGCCTCCTCTCTCATTCCCCTGATTTATTTTTTTTCACCCATGTCTATCATCGTTTTCCCTTTGTGTCCTTTATTCTTACTTTAATTATACAATCTTAAAGTCTAACAAAGTGAATGCAGGTTGCCTTCTTCCTCCTCTGACTTCTCATCTTCCAATATTTCCCTGATTTCAGTTAACCTCTCTAATTTTTTCAAACTACTTTGTCTTTCTTGCAACACTGCAACACTTATTTGGTTTCCCCATTCACTTCAACTTGTCCGCTTTCTTTTCTTTCTAACTCACCTTGTCTTCCTTTCATCTTTCTACTGTAACTGGAAAGAAAATCAGCTAAATAGTATATAATCTGCTGCACAAAACAAGCCTGCTGTAAGCTGTCATTGGGATATCATTTAGCATCTGTGCTCAGCCACAGTTCTTGAAGTCTGTTCGGTACTTTTGGCGTTAGCCTGTCTTTATCTTCGGTCAATTGAGCACAGTGAATCAGTGGATACAGCTGATGAAAAAGAGCTCTCTAACTGGCTGTTCAGCCAAGGGAATCAGTGATTACATCAATTTAGTCTGGTTTTGCTTTTTTTAAATTTCACCTCATAAATGAAACTGTATGGTAGAGTTGAATGACTCTCTGATTACCTAATCAGTGAGCAGTTAAACGTAAAAGATTAATTGTACAGTGTGTTGTTAGAAACTGAAAAGTTCTGAATCATGAACTTCAGAGTTCCAAGTACTGAAGCTGTTTATAATTTCATAAGACTGCAAAACACATAAACAAATGAAGTATTTTGTCACTATAACAAGCCAATTATAAAAGGTATCAGTAATTTTGGGTGTAATAAATATACTTAAATAGCAGTTAATTATGTCGAGGATACCACAAATATCTTGGCCAGTTTCTCTAATTATTATGTGCCAAAGTTACAGTCCTATTCAAAAGTCTGAAACCACCCCTCCTGCCTTTACATTTTGCTTCCAAGGAGTCTGAGGTTCTTGTAATCTTTTTAAAGTGGTCTTGAGCAATTGTTCTCCAGGCTTTCTGAAAGTTTTTATTTGGAAAATGGATACCTTTTCACACATTTTCAGTCCAGTTCTTGTATTTAACCACTGTCAGAGATTTTTTTTTGTTGTTGGTTTTTTTTAGCCACTTAAATCTCACCTATGAATCATTCAGGCAAAAAAGGTCCCTATCTGGAGGAATAGACCAGTGTTTTGTCCACACATAACAGATCATTTAGCAAAGAATTAACTTTAAATTCTACCTTTAGACACTTTCTTACAAGCACCCTGTTGCAAAAACACACAAATTTCTAATTTATTTAGTTAAAGCTATGAAAAATGTCAACAATAACACAGTCTGACAGGCATAAAATAGTAACAGTAAAACAAGAACTAGAGGAAACAACAGCAGATGAACAGTATTTGAAAGTCCTTAAGAAATATGGAACAAGGCCCTTCCCGGGGGTGGCTGTAGAGAAGCCATTCTTAAGGAAGGGAAACAGGGAGAAATGGTTGAAGAATGCTAAATTACAAAGGAACTGGGCTGAATTACGTAGAAATGGGTCTGATGGAGTGATGAATCCAAATTATAAAAAAATGACTCAAATCACAGTCAACACGTAAGAACGAGGTCAGAAGAGAGGTACAACAGTGAGTGTCTAACATGGTGGAAGCTCTGTCATAGTTTGAGGCTGCATTTCTGCCAGCGGTGTTGGAGATCTTGTCAAAATTGTGTGGAATTATCAACAAAGAAATATCAATACTATCTGGAAAGCATGAGAGGACTTTTAAAATGTCCTTCAAGAACCCAGAAGAACTATTCTTGCAGACTACTTAAAGAAATTACAAGGGAACTTGCCTGAGGCTGTATTGAAGAATAAAGGTGGTCATACTAAATATTGACTTTCCAGCTCATTAGAATTGTACAAACTCTGCTTTTGCATTATATATAATGCATGTATGTTTGCACATTTCAATAAAACCCTGCACACACTCCCCATTTTCCTAGCAAAACATAAAGAATTGGTGGCCCAAGATATTTGAACAGCACTGTGCGTGGTGGTCTTTTTTTATGTAGAGCACATAACTAGAATTTATTATATGACCCTAAACATCTAAACATAATTAATTAAACATAAAAGTCATATCCAAACTATCAGTAAATGCTCCTCCACTGGCAATAGGGAGATATACAGTTGATATCAACATTGAAAAAAAGTTCAAATGTTGATGAATCAAAACTCCTCCATGTTTAGCCTCAATTACGACAGCATTTCTTGCTCAGTCTTTTCATGTGCAAACAATTGTCAGTCTCTGGTGCTGAAAAATGAAACCAAATAGTGCAGTTTCTTCACTGGCCAGATGAGGCTTGGCCTCAAGTCAATCCTAATAGAACTTAGGGTAAAATAAGCAGAAAAAAGTAGCATGTTTACAGCCTGTTTTAAAAAGCTGTTTTGGTCTTTCCCCCATTCACATGAACACACAACACCACAACAAGTTCAATAATTGCCTTATCATCCGCTCTCTACCTATGATTACATCCCAGTGAAAATAAAGCTACTATATTTTACCTTTTAGATTTCCAATTTCCAATTGCTATTGTCCTTATTTCGGGAACTTTCTCCTCTATCAAAAATAGTTTAAGATGAAAGCATTCTGTTCTCGAGATCAAAGAAATACTGGTTTCTCATGCTTCTCATGCATATCTTCATCTGGAAAAATCCCATTTTATCGTTCTATATATCCAGTTCTCCCTACTTCTCTTTCCATATTGCCAGAATAAAGATCCAAGTCTCAATAAACAAAAATAACTCTGGGTACCAGCCAGCGAGGCCTGGTGATTTTTTTTCCACTTAGACTTCCAAATTAGATTAGAAACAGCAACTTCCAGAGGTCTTTTTAAACTTCGGTTAATGTTGAGCTTGTGTATAGAGAAAAGATGTGGATAAAGAAGCGAAGAAACAACAACTCTAAACAACAAAGTTCAAGGAACTCATCGTAAACACAAACCAGCTTTTAGAAACAGGATTTTATAACACAGTATTCATGATTTTCCACTCCAAGTATCCAATTTCAAGCTACCATGTAAATCACTAGAGTGTTTCACTCTCCTACTTCAAGACATTTATCTGTTACAGTAATTATGCTGTGTTTGGTGTTACTGCATTCTCTGAAATCTGTCCAAGTTTTTTAAGGTCATCCATCACATTTTAAGACACATTTAAAGCTCTTATTTTAATCCCTTTTGTTTAAATTCAAGTTTAAAAAACTGTCAAATCTTTACTTTAAAAAAAAACAATGCCAAAGGAAGCAAAGAGAAGAGTAAGAGTCAAAGGCAAGTAGAGGACAAGAATAAGAAGAAATTGGAGATGAGGAGTCTTGCACATGTTCAGGGACATGGAAGAATGGAAGTAAAGGCAATGATGGGGATGAAGGGAAGAGGAGAAAACCAGGAATAAATCAAGCCATCTGGAACATGAGACTTAAAAAAAATCATTAAATAAATAACTTTCGTGCCTTTTCAAGTACTTATTTAGCCAAAATTTGAAGTGTGAAAGTGTGTGCTTGTGTGAAAAAAAGTCCAAGACTGCAAATAGTGTGCTGTTGTACCAACACTGAACACGTTATAATGGCCAACTGGGAAATAAAGACATGTTTGGTGTGTCTTTGTTAGACAACCCCCCAAAACGAGTCGTCTTAAAAAGCAGCTGAATATAAACATAACAACTAATTAAGACATCGTTAAGGGATCCTTGGATTGTCTAATGAAGTCCTTTATTTCCTCTCTCCATCTCCCCTAAACGTAGTTATTTATGCAGCTGTACTGTTAAAAACCCGCACGCCATAATGAAATCTTCATTAATATGATTGCACATACGGCTGCTTTTGTCAGCACTATCTTTCCCATCTACATACCGCCACAGAGTGGGCTGTGATTTGAATACTCAAAGCTAAGAAAATGCTATGGTCAGCACTATTGGTACGGTGTGTATAGCTGCATCTTTTCAGAGAAGATTTGCCAGTAGGAGATTTTTAATGTGGATCAAATCGATGCACAAAACATTTCTGTTTAAATAAGCCACGGCACTGTAAACCCCCAGATGTTCCACACTTCCATTTTTCACGTAAGTATGACAGACTCAGTTGTAGCTTAATGTCTGATGTTCTAAGGTAGTATTGAAAATCGAAAAGACATTAATCATTTTTAAAGCACCATTTTTCCTCATTAAAATACACTATATAATACCATGAAATAACAATTTAGCAAGTCTAGTAAGTCATTCTCTAATTAGCCTTCACCTTGGGAATACTTGGAAATGGAAAGTCAACTCCTGGCTTGAGAATAAAATATTCCATGGTGACTTTCGATATATTATTCATGAATTCAATTTACCCTGATAATGAACTGAAAGTTCTTGGAAATAAAATGATCTTTCACCTTGATAAAACAAAAGAATAACTTACAGTATGCTTCAGTGTAAACTATAATTATAAGTGTCTTTTGATTTACACACAAATGAGTTTACTTTCCTAATGGGTAAGAAAAAAAAGATCACTAATCATGAATCAAAAACATCATAATTGCTAACAGCTGACTGCAGCATCTGTAAAAATGGAGATTTAGTATTTGTCTAATCTCACCCACACTTTTATAAATCAACACCTTTTCGATACATCTTAGAAAGAGGTATACTCACCCCATTCTTAGGGTAGGCCACCCATCCCAGGTCTCCCATCACAGAGCGGGAATCCAGCAGGTTCACTGTTGAAGGTTGGGAATACAAAGAATTGTTAGTAAAGATGAGCAACAAGCTGATTCATTAGAAATGCAAAAGGAAGAAGAAATATAAATCCTCACTTTGTTTACCCCTCCCTTATTATACCAAGTCACCAAGATAAAATGATTTACACATATTCAGCTAATGAAGGCCAGAGCTTGCTGCATCACAAAGCCTGATTGGTGAATAGACTCAACTGGATGTGCTAAGAACTGATGACACCTTAGTCACAAAGAAATGCTTAAGAAAATAGAAGCCAGACATTATACCTATTACAGATTCATTCATCAGAGCAAATATTTGCCCAAGTCAAAGGATTTCTATCCACATTCATTTGTCAAAAATAATTCCACATATAAAATCTATTGAATTAGAATGTGTGCGTGAATGAGAATGTGGGATCTTGCTAACCAAAAACTCCCACACAACTTTGTACGCACAATTCAGTGTCTGCAACACAACTCAAACTCAAACTAATCCATTAAAAAAAAGGAAAACCTCCCTGCTCAGCTTCCCGGCTGAAAGCTGTCAAGTGCAATTACTTGATCACTTCAAATCCTTAAAGTGTGTTTCCATCAACTCTTGTGCAAGACTGGTAACAGCGGAATCTCGCAAGTTGCGTGTGTGCCTTCACATGCTTCTTCCGCATCAAATGCACAACAGGTCTTGACAAAAGAGCCTCTCGTGAAGGCAATTGTCATCTCAGTTTTTTGACATATTTGGAGGCACTAAACAATATTCTCTTTAGTGGCTTGTTAGTTTTATCTCAACAAAAGCACATGTCAACATCTGGAAAATATTAGATGTTTACTGAACCTAAGCTCTCATTATAAACATACTGGATATGGCTGAGATAGGCAGATGTTAACACCCAGGTGCAGAATCTGACTAAATCATTGTGGCCACATGACTGGGCGAGAACAAAGCAGGTTAACACGTAGTATATTAATGATGTGACACAGTTTACAACACCGTATGCTGTCATAAACTGAGCTCATATTCTGTTAAAGCAGAGTTCAGTTTTCTTTATCTCCTCTACGATAACATTTAGCTTGTTCTTTGTTTGATACAATGTGTACTCAAACAATAAAAGAAAAGTCCAACCAAGTGACCCATAGACAAGCTTTTATACTTGAAGCAGATTAAGAGATAGACATTAGAAAATATTGCTAACTGAAGCAAACATTATCTGTATCTACCTACAACAGCAGACAAAGGGGATACTTCTCCTTGCCGCGTCTCTCTACCTGTTTTTATGACTAAGTAGTTCATGTCTAAATTGAAGCCTTTATTCTATTTTGGTTAAGAAGAAAGAAGAAGAAAGTGTGTACATTATTGTACTTTATTGAGCCCCGTGGGGAAATTGCTCTCTGCCTTTAACCCATTCGCTCAGTGAAGCAGTGGGCAGCCATTGGGCACCCGGGGAGCAGTGTGTAGGGACGGTACCTTGCTCAGGGGTACCTCAGGGTAGCTGTTAAGGGGAATCGAACCCCCGACCTTCCGATCATGGGGCAACCACTCTACCTACTGAGCTATCCCTGCTATTAACCTCTGTCACATGTTTAACTTCATAAGAAATCTTTTTGCATCTATGTTGTAAACATGAAATCTGATGATGAACAACAAAAAATAAGACTGGAAGTGAAAAACAGAAATTGCATTTGAGTCTAGCAGGGGACTGGTGGACACACTATGCATTAGGAGACATTTTTCTTTAACCCATCACAGCTTAGCCAGGTTGGTAAAAACAAATCTTTAAGACTTAACCTCCTAAAAATCTTGGATAAGGTAAAACTTCTGCTGTTCTTTAAAACAGGTTTTCACATGTAACATTTACACAAACCAACCATTAATGTATGTAAAAAAAAAAAAATCAGCCAACTATCCAAAAACACAATTTCAGAAACATTGGTGACTTTCTGACCAGCTGTTGAGTGTAACATTTACAGTTACATGTGCTGTCATAAAACAACCAAACTACACATGAACCCTGCCCTAATGTAAACAAAATGATAGGCATCCATAAATAATCTGCATCACAAGGTGTACTGGTGTATGCAGCGTTGCTCAATATCTCAGACACAGACGTTCTGCAACCCCGAGCACCACACAAACACACAGACGTAGACACACCTCCTGTCTTACTGTCTTCACTGTTCTACAGAGAATAATAAAAGATGTCCTTAGGAGGCGATTAGACAACTAATTAGGCCATAAAGAAGAGATAAGTGATACTGAACTAGATCATAAGGGATATGTTACCTCTTTCCCTCTCTTGTTCTCTCTAAGGATTAAACCACCTAACAAGTTAGAGCTCGGCTATGACAATGATCTATAGCACTTATTATTAAAAGTCATCTCAGCTAAATGAATGTAGTGATTTAAAGTCTTGAGTGACATTACTTCAAGGATACATATTTTAAATCCTTTGAAGGATGCGGATTTTTAACATTGGAAATACTGATAAAATTCTCCTCAAGTTAAGTGTTGTTGCTGTTAGACAAAGGACATTTATTTTCAGTTACACTGAAACTATGCAGTTTTACTCCTTGACCTAAGTTATCTTTAACAGTCTCGTGTGTAACCATATCTTACCTGTTACTTTTACCTGCACATATGAAATGCGCAATTTTAATTAATGCAGTCCCCTCATCTTTTTTTCTTTTTTCGCTGTGTGTACCTTGTGATGTTTGATTTTGACAATTTACGTGTTAGCTCAGAGTTCTCTGGGATTAATGGTCTGTTTTCTCCTCCCACACAGAGAGAGGCAGACAAATATTCTTTCTTTCAAGCCATTTGGTGTAATTACTCCAGATTCACCATTTCCATTTGATCAATGCCACAGCCAACAAAAAGTAAAGTGAAAGCTTTTAAAATCCGTTTAGGCTCCCAAAACCCCATGTCTTCCTCGTGTCACACATCATGATTAATCAAACACAGTAATAATGTAACAGATGTGAGGCTCTGGGATGTACTCTGAATTTCATTAGTTTTTTAAAAATGAGCTGATTAGTTTCAATAGACGGAATTTTCAACATGGTAATGTGTGCACAACTTCCTTTTTATTTATTTTAATTTTTGAACAATTGTATCCTGATTTAGTAAGTAAGTCATTTAAATGTACTTAGTGAGACTGGCGAATAAGTGAAAACCAAACATTTACATGAGGTTAGTAGCATGCTGTCAGATAAGAACTTCCTCTTTTTCAAAACAAAACCTGAGATGGGCAAGTGGCCAAAATACCCAAATATTTTTCAAATTTGTCTACACAAGCAAAAAATAAATTCCTTAATTGTATTTTTTTTAACTAATTACAATTAATTAGTCAAATGAGAGAAGAGGCTAGTTTAATTATGGGCTTCACTCACCTCTCCAATTATGCATGCAGTGCTATGGTGATTATCCTTTGCAATGCAAATATCTGTCAAATGAATCTAACGTTGGTTTTAAATGGTTAACCTCTGGTAAATGGTTCTTGACTGGCTGGGTGTTGAACAGCTTCATTTCTGGTGTTTGGTTAAGTAAAAGTTTAATATCTTTTCTCTGCAAATTAGAATGAGATGAACAGGTTTTAACTTGATAGTTGAAGACAACAAAGAAAACAAATGTCTGCGTATATGCCAGATGTGAAAGATCAAATGCTGGCATGTTTTTTTATTTCCCCTTCACTCACTTCATTGACTCCATCCTGAAGCTTGGCTTTAAAAAGGCTTTGGCTTAAAAAAGGGGGGTATTCAAGTATTTTGACAGCAGGTTTTGATACTAATGACGAATAAATGTAGGTGTATTTTAACCACATGCATATTTTCATTATTTAATGGAACAGTGCACCTTATCACATTAAGGATATATTCATAAATTGAACACGAAACATCATGATTTCCTGGATTCAATAAAAAAGAAAGAAAAGAAAGAAAGATATAATATAAACAATCTTTGTGAACTTTTCATGTGCTGGCCAATGACGCCCTGCTAAACGCTCCAGGACCCCTCAGTGTCCTGTGGCCAAATATTGAGAACTTTGGTGAATATAAACTTTTACCAAATAAATCTGCCATGTGGAGAATATGCTGCTTGATGAATGTGCTCTCTTTCCCGGATAATGCTGTCTAATAGCTCCAAACAATGGTATTCATCTGGAGCTATTAAAATGCTGCTCATGCAGACAATGGCGTGGGAACAGTATTTGGCAGACTATTTTACACTTCTTACTCAGTTTTTTGTGCCTACATTGTCAAATATTTATCCTTATTTTATGCCACTTTACAGTTGCCCACTTTTCACATTTAGTAGGACAGTGTAGGTGTGCATTTGTTCAGATGATAAGAATATTGCAGGTATTTTGCAATATACTGTGGAACTGAGGAAATTTATGAGCGGTCACAGATTAATCTGACATGATAAGTGCTGAAAGAACCAAACATGAACAAACCTATAAAGGAACAAGGCAAGCCCAAACTAAATGAGTTTTCAGGGAAATTAAGTTATTGTCACACCTAAACGTCAGCATTTTAATAAGTGGGAAGCCAAGCGGTCAATTTAATTTTAGAGTCGTTTTACAGTAACTACCGAGAGAGAAAATAAATAAATACAAAAATAAAAATGTGAATTTGCATTCTTCGTCCAGTCTATGGTGAGCACCTTACACGCTAAAGACAAAAATGCTAAAGAGTGATACGGAGATTTTTGCAGCGCACTGTGCGTCTGTTGGCGCTGCCATGTCCTCAGAGGAATGGTTATCAGAAAGAGACATGTTCTGTCCAAAGGTCTTTTTTTATTCGACCCTTTACAGTTTGGGAACACAGAGTCATTGCACACACGGGGCACACAGCTGTCATAAAGATAATCTGTTTGTATTAATATTATATACGACCTCTTTCTGCCGTCAAACGGCTCCAGAAACGAATAGACCAGCCAAGGAGTCTGAGACCGATGGTCTGGGCACCAGCTGTGGTACGAGCAGACCTTTAACCGCTTTTCGGCGCCCGTTAAAGCCTAACCAAACAGCGCTGTCAGTAACCCTAAATCCTTCCTGTTTTAGTTTACCTTCGTTTGCGGGAATGCACCACGCTCCAAGAAATGCCAGGCTCCAAATCCATGTCCATGTCACCAACCGAATGCCACAACTCCACCAACGAGATTGCATGGCGCATCCAAAAAAACCCAAAACCAGCAACAAGATTTTTTTCTTAAACAACAGCAGTTTCGGTCAGAACAGAAGGGGAAAGCGTAGTGAAACCATCTGTCGCGTTATGAGTCCGCTCAGAAAGATGGGGATCATGTTATGCGGCGGCAAGAAGGAGGCAATGAGGAGCCGAGTGCGCTCTGGTTTTGGGAAGGCGGGCAGCGCGTCGGGAGGCGGAGTGAAGCTCAGTCTCTCCAATCACAGACCCTCCACAGGTGAACCCCACTGCCGCTGAACTCATTTCTCCAATAATCGATTACCCCTCACTCATTACCTCTGTTGACCGTAAAAGCATTACTTACCGTTCGTATTAAGTTGCCCTCTCCTGCTCTGCGTTTCTGCACGATTGAGACTTGCTACAAAATTGGATTTGTAAAGAACACAGGTACTTTGAGGTGTTTTTTAAAAAGAAAAAAAAACATATCCCCGTTGTTTCAGTCCAGCTGCATTGCTTTCAGTTATGTGGGTTATCAGTGCTTGTATTCAGTTTTTGACAACATGTTTATAACGCAACAACTGCCGTTTTAACTACTGAGAGAATGTTTAAAGACGCATTATTTGACTGCTGCTGCAGCAGTGTTTGCTTTATAATCTTTCAGTAGTTCTTGGTGTATCACGTCAGGGAACAACAGACTGTAAAAGCAAAAGCAACCCTTATTTAGTAGGATAATTTACTGGTAATACAGTTATTGTAGTATTGAACAGGATGTGGATTTCCAATAAATATTGCCTCTGGGCAGCATTTCCAGCCCCTGTGTCTCATATAATCACTGTGGTTTGTGGACTTTATAGATCATTTTCAGGCTACAGACAGCTGACAATGATGGTCTGTCTCGCTCTGTGGTAGCCCTGTGTTAGACCAGTGACTGCTTCTAGTCCTGTGATAGCTGGGATAGGATCCTCCACACTCGTTGACTCTGGATTGGATCGGCGGAAGAAAATATTTTTAACACTATATTTTTTTTCATGCTTGGCATGCAAGACAGTTCTTGACAAAGAGCTATACATCTATGTTGTATCCATCAATGTTGAGGGTTCTTTAACTGATGGTTTCTCACCCCTGTCTTCTTCTTATTTCTTCTGTGTTCTGCAACGCTTTTAGCAGTAAAAAAAAATTAATTAAATATTTTTTTAAAAAAGAAGAAAGAAACTACTTTGTAACCCTGATTTTTAATAGAAATATACAACTTAGTTTTACATAAACCTAAAGTATGAGTCTACAGGTATACTAATTGTGTAATCACTGATTATCCCATCTAGATGAAGACTTCTTTCTTAAGAGGTTTAATTCAAGGCTTTCAGTTTACTTTTATCTTTTATCTTATCTTTTAATGTCAATTCAGTGTACTAAGACAAACTGGAACAGTCTCCAAATACTTTTTTCATTTTTCATAATATTTTTTATTGAGTTTATTTGCTCCAACTAAAAACACACAAACAAAAAAAGTGCACCATCAGCCATCTCGGTACAATTGTCTTGCTTTCCAGTTAAATGTGCTTTGGTGTATTTGAGTTTTAGTTTCTTATAATCTGTGTTGTAAGATTATAATTCCTCAAACTGCCTAAAATCAGTTCATAATTTTTGAATGTGAGACTTTAAGAAGTTGTATGTTGATTCTGTGATGTGAGCTTTCCTTTCCTTTGTGACCATCTTCTACATTTTCTCTGTTACCTTTATCCATTTAGACCAATTAATGCCGTATCTCTTTGTATTTTTATCTCTGTTACTTATTTGTGTTTTCTGTATGTGTTTTGCTTTTCACATTTTCTTCCTCTCTCTCGTTCTCTGTGGTGAAATTACATTCTTTAATCACTAAGCAATTCGTGGTGTTATTCACATGTGTTACCCTGCTGACACCTCCTACATTCCTTGTGTATGCACACAGATCTACGCATATATAACACATGGATAGACACAGGTATTGATTTCTCTCTCACCCCAACTTGGAAACACATCAAGATACTCAGTGACCTCGCTGATAGGCGCACAGGGCCCCACGTTTTGTTTTTGCTACAGAAATTGAACAACCTCGGATTTTAAATATTGCATCCTTTTAAATATGTGAAAAAATTGTTTGCCAAGCACAAATGCAACTGTAGGTGTAATTCCAAGGTGGTAGTGTATTGTAGACGTGTAGGGGTCTGATCAGCAGTGACAGCGGGTGTGGAGGTGGTTCTGGGATGCCAGAAACTGTTGTTGTCTCCTAGAGGTGTCGGTTTAATTCTATAAAAGGTCTGCGGAGGAAAGTGTAAGAAAAATTCACCCCGCAAGGAGCCTTACCATCAGATGAATCTTCTCATTTTTGTTGGTTGAGAATGCATTTTTGTTGTTCTACGCCTGTTTGGTAAATGGGTGGAAAGAGTGAGGTTTCACTTTTAGATATTTTTAGGTCAGCAATAATGGAGTTATATAAAAGCAAGGATGGACAGGTGGAATTCCCTAAAATAGACGATGCAGGAAGTGGTAGGCATTCTCCAGATGTATCAGTTTTAGGATACAACAGCTGCACTCAGACTAAGATCCTCAAACAAGATTAGATTAGCCATGAAAATAATAATAATAATAAAAAAGAATTTGTATATATTTTTTTTCTTTTGGGGGATGCAGCATTCATTCCAACATTTATGTTTTGTGGGTCTCTACTAGCTCTGTCCTTTTAGTTGCTAAATACACCACTAAGTTCACCATCCATTTGTTGACTCTGTGTGTCTTCCATTTCGTGCCAGACAGGCAGTGTACAGTTCATCAGAGCTGTTTTGCGGCCTGTGACAGGCTGGGCTCTGCATGGCAGAGTAATAACTCTCTATGTGACTCTGAGTATCTGTGCTTTTCCTATTAGCAAATGTATATATGGCCAGTTAAAGATATAGAAAAAGACAATACTGCTTCACAACAAATTGCAGATATTGTCCTTTTGATGTCTTGTGAAGTTTTCTTTAATAACAGTATGGCCAGTAAGTTCAAATTACACATATTAGTAAATACACATGCTAAAATAAATAAATAAATAGGCATGCCATTCATCTGAAAACCACAACCATTTCCCATTTTGTTCATTGGTGGCAGAATGTCTTTTTTATCACTACATGGTAGAGCACCATGAAGCATTTTCCAAAACCAGTGGCTTGGTGCAATCAGATGTGATGGTACCTTGGGGGCTGAATAGTCAGCTGGGATTTTGTGTCTGCTCACTCATGACAGTAGGGGAGGGAAAGGGAAAGCAAGGTCAGAGAGGGTCAGTGCAACACACACACACACACACTGTAAATACTGTAGAGGTTTGCCTGTCTCCTCCGCTCTCTCTCTCGCACACACACACACACACACACACACACACACACACACACACACACACACACACACACACACACACACACACACACACACACACACATTTGTTGCAGTGAGCGTCTTGTTGGCACAGTACACATTAAACACCTTTGTTGCAAGCCTAGGGAGTCGAGACTGGCCTGGCCTTCCAGCTGAGAAGATCTCACTTTACAACTAAATAGCTGACTCTAGCATGTCTTCTTTTTTGTACATATTTACTGCCGGACCATTTGACATAATATTTCTAGTATTTACAGTAATCCGGTTGGAAGGAATCTAAGCTTTTCAACCTTTTAAGCTGTCCGTATGTAACCAAATGCCTTTTACCCATATGAACATGCAGTCCTATAATTGCAGTGATTTCTTTTATTCTCGCCATATTACTAATATGAAGAACATATAATGTTGATGTGTTTTTCCCAGGGTGTAACCATAAAAAAATAAGTTTATAAATGCATGCACGTTATATACAAACATGACATTACTGTGTATTTTAACCCCAACACAAAGATTCATGCACACACATACAGTATTATCACCCAGTTCCCCAAATAATCAGCTTTTGGACTTGACCAGCTGGCCCCTTGTTGAAGGGAACTCTGGGATTTTTCAGAATACCATGACATTAAATAGTGAAACACTACAACACATTTGGCTTTAAAGGGATATTTCAACTTTATTACAGTATTCCTTCTAGAACATTCCCACCATGATGTGTAGAAACTGTAAGAGAATAGAAATGTTTCTGTTTAGGGCTCAAGAAGAGAATGATGAACATTTTTACTTTTCACAACAGCAAGAGTATTTCTAGTTACTATCATGAATTTTGGCTGCCTTTTTTGGCAAAGTTCCAGAGGCCTTCTGTTGTGCATGCTGGCACACTCGAGCACCTACCATGAAAAAGAGGCACCATCATGTTAACAGCTAAACTTTGTCTTTCCCAACTGCAGAAGGGTACACTGCTAAGCAAGCTGAAAATAGACAGGTTTTCTTTGCATTAGCTGGCTCAACAAAGTAGTAAGTAAGTAAATTAGATCCCAAAGTTATAGTTACAATGGTGAATCCGCAATTTATTTGTTAACCAAGGTATTTTTTTATGTTATTGTCCTCTGCACAATATGGACTGATCAACCTCTGAGGAATTGGTCACAGGGCTGGAAAAAAAATGTTGTAAATTTGGAAGTTGGTTTTCTGTTGCTTCTGAGAAGTGGTTAGCAATGTTTTATAGCAAGAATGTCCTGGGTTTGAGTCCAGCTTGGGCTGTTCTGTGTGGAGTTTGATGTTTTCCCTGTGTCTGCTCGGGTTCAGTCTGAAAACTCTGGATACTCTCATAGTCCAAAAACATACACGTTAGTTTAACCGGTAATTCTAAATTGGCCATATGTGTGAATGCAAGTGTGAATGGTTGTTTGTGTCTCTGTGTTAGCCCTGCAATAGCCTGGTGGCTTGCCTACAATCTGAAGTTGGATCAGTTGTTAAGAAAATGGCTAGATTTACTTCTACAACTTAACTAATATGCATCAGTTTTCTAATGTGGAACATCAGCACAGTGCAGACCAATCAGAAATATTTATTCTGTTCATCTACTGAATGCATGTTAATTCCCCTGTCAAACACACATTTGCACTGTAATTGTATTACTTCCATTTACGGCCTCACAAATGTACAACTCAACAGGCTTGCAAATATAATTTTCTAAAGTTGGCACGTTTTACTGTTGAATTAATTTTAAAACTGAAAATAACCTCCACCTGAACAGGTGAGGTACAA